CTACCCAGAAGGGACAAGTGGTGATATGGATGATGATGGGAAAATAATATATAATAGTTTTGTTTCATGACATTTATTATGTTTTTATGTCATATTCGTTTTATGAGAAATGATGTCGCCACAATCTTCCCAAACTAATAAAATATGACTTTATTTCTCTTAGTCAAATGTTTCTTATGTTTTATTTATTTATTGAAGAGAAATATGGATATTCGTAAAAGAAATAAGGAAGATATATGTTTTGCAGACAGTGCAACAACACATAGTATTTTTAAAAATGAAAACTATTTTGCATACTTATCAACTGGAGAAGCAAATGTTAATACAATAAATGGTAGTGCAAAAATGATTGAAGGCTCCGGAAGAGTGAATATCATATTACCACAAGGGACAATAATTACAATTGGCGATGCATTATTTTCATCAAAATCACCAAGAAATTTATTAAGTATTAAGGATATTCGGTCCAACGGATATCATGTTGAAACAAATAATGATGGTGATAAAGAGTATCTCAATATTACAAAAATGAGCCCATTCATTCCATTCGATCGATCTGACCTATTAAGTGATAATAGCACAGGAGGATTTTTTTTCAATTGAATAAAGCAAGTCTTTATCGGGTAACAAAAGATTTTTGGAAAAGTTACCCGTATTGTCCTCTGGATTGTACTATACAAATATTAGAATGATTGAATCTCATGTTATTAAAAATAAAATGTATGATAACACCTTCAAAGTTTGGCATGACCGGTTGGGACATCCCGGATCAATTACGACGTGTAGAATAATTTAAATTTCAAGTGGTCATTCCTTGAAAAACTAGAAGATTTTTCAAACTAATGAATTGTCTTGTGTTGCATGTTCTCAAGGAAAACTAATTTCCCGTCCATCATTGAATAAAGTTGGGTATGAAAGTACTAGTATCTTAGAAAGAATTCAAGGGGATATATATGGACCAATTCATCCACCATGTGGACCATTTAGATATTTTATGGTTTTAGTTGCCGCGCCAACTAGATGGTCATACGTGTGCTTGTTATCTAGTCGTAATCTTGCTTTCGCAATGTTACTTGCACAAATAAACAACCTAAGGGCACATTTTCCCAATTACCCAATTAAGAAAATTCGACTTGACAATGCTGGAGACTTTACATCACAAGCTTTTAATGACTATTGCATGTCGATTGGGATAACTATTGAACATCTTGTTGCATATGTTCATACACAAAATGGTTTAGCTGAGTCGTTAATCAAACGCCTTCAATTAATTGCAAGACCATTACTAATGTATTCTAAACTTCCTACATCGAGATGGGGACATGCAATTTTACATGCGACATCACTTATACGCATCAGGCCAACTAGTTATCATAAGTTCTCCCCTATTCAACTGGTTTACGACCATGAACCAAATATTTCCCATCTAAGGACGTTTGGATGTGCAATTTATGTACCCATTTCTCCAGCTCACCGCATAAAAATGGGTCCTCAAAGAAGAATGTGAATTTATGTTGGATATGAATCTCCATCTATAGTAAAATATTTAGAACCATCAACTGGAGATTTATTTACAGCTAGATTTGACGATTGTCATTTTGATGAATCAATTTTTCCAACATTAGGGGGAGAAATAAAGAAGCTGGAGAATAAAATCTCTTGGAATGAATTATCACTTTCAGTTTTAGATCCTCGCTCAAGTCAATGTGAACTTGAAGTGAAAAAGATAATTCATTTACAAAATATAGAAAATCAATTGTCAGATGCATTTACTGACCCTAAGAGAGTAACAAAGTCTCATGTACCAGTTGTAAATGCTCCAGTTAGAATTGATATCCCAGAAGGAAAAAATACAACTACAAATGAATCAAAGGCACGCCTGAAGCGTGGAAGACCAACCGGTTCCAAAGATAAAAATCCTCGAAAACGAAAGTGATCAAATATAATTGATGGTCCAAAAGAGAAAACATAATCTTTTGAAAAGATTAATGAAGCTCCAGAAGAGCCCAATGACATAACAAAAGAAATCAGGGTACCTGAAAATTATGAAAATGAAGAGATCTCAATAAATTATGTCATGACAGGAATAAGATGGAACCGAAATAAGATAGACGTCGACGATAATTTTTCATATCATGTTGCGCGCGAGATTATGGAAGAAAATGAGGATCTTGAACCTAAATCTATAGATGAATGTAGAAATAGAAAAGATTGGCCAAAATGGAAAGATGCAATCAACAAAGAGCTTAATTCTCTTACTCAACGAAAAGTTTTTGGACCTGTAGTCCGTACACCAAACGGAGTAAGACCAGTGGGACACAAATGGGTATTTGTGCGCAAAAGAAACGAGAAGAATGAAGTTGTGAGATATAAAGCAAGACTTGTTGCACAAGGTTTTACCCAAAGGCCCGGAATTGATTATGAAGAAACATACTCTCATGTGGTTGATGCAATTACATTCCGTTATCTAATAAGTCTGGCAACACATGAAAAACTGGAGATGCGTCTGATGGATGTAGTTACCGCCTATTTATATGGTTCACTTGAGAATGATATTTATATGAAAATCCCAGAAGGGTTTAAGGTGCCAGAAGCACAAACTCCTAATTCTCGTGAAATATATTCGGTAAAATTAAATAAATCTTTGTATGGACTGAAACAATCTGGCCGTATGTGGTTCAATTGTTTAAGTACATTTCTTTTAAAAGAGGGCTATAAAAATGATCCATTAAGCCCATGTGTATTCATAAAAAGATCTGGATTAGAATTTGTGATAATTGTTGTTTACGTAGATGATTTGAACATAATTGGAACTCTTGGAGAATTGGAAAATGCCACTTCTTGTTTGAAAGAAAAATTTGAAATGAAAGATCTTGGTAAAACGAAATTTTGTTTAGGTCTTCAAACTGAGCACACCAAAAATGGAGTTTTTGTACATCAATCTAGTTATCTAGAAAAGGTGCTTAAAAGGTTTTATATGGATAACTCACATCCATTGAGTACCCCGATGGTAGTAAGGCATTTAGATGCCAAAAAGGACCAATTTCGGCCTTGTGAAAAACATGAAAAACTTCTTGGTCCCGAAGTACCATATTTTAGTGTTATTGGTGCACTAATGTATCTTGTTAATAATACGAGACCTGATATATCTTTTGATGTAAACTTATTAGCAAGATATAGTTCTTACCCAACAAGAAGACATTGGAATGGAGTCAAACACATTCTTCGATATCTTCGAGGTACAATGGATATGGGCTTATATTATTCAAATTCATCAAATGCGGAGTTAATTGGTTATGCAGATGCTGGATATTTGTCTGATCCACACAAAGCTCGATCCCAAACAGGTTATTTATTCACTTGTGGAGGTACCGCAATTTCTTGGTGTTCTGTTAAACAAACTTTAGTTGCTTCTTTTTCTTCTAACCATGCAGAGATTATAGCAATTCATGAGGCAAGCCGTGAATGTATTTGGTTAAGAAATTTAACTCATCACATTTGTGAGAATTGTGGTCTAACTTCTAACAGGGACGTTCCAACCATACTCTATGAAGATAATGCGGCTTGTATAGCCCAATTCAAGGAAAGGTTTATCAAAGGAGACAGAACCAAACATATATCACCAAATTTTTTTTTTACTCATGATCTTCAAAAAGAGCGTGGCATGAACATCCAAAAAATTCAATCAAGTAACAACTTGGCAGATTTATTCACTAAAGCGTTTCCTACATCCAAATTTGAAAACATGGTACGAAATATTGGAATGCGACGCTTTAAGGAAATCAAGTGATGTGATGATCAGGGGGAGTTGAAAACATATTGCACTCTTTTCCTTAGCTATGTTTTTCCCACTGGGTTTTCTTAGCAAGGTTTTTAACGAGGCAATTGTTCCAAATATCTATCATTAACCATGTACTCTTTTTCCTTAATAAATGGTTTTTCCCATGAGGTTTTACCTATTAAGGTTTTAACGAGGCATGATACAATCGTCATTCAAAGGGGAGTGTTATGAAATATTAGTTTGTGAATGACCATTGGATTCTCCATTTCTCCCATAACTCCCCATCATTATTTAGCATTAGTAACAACCATATCAATGTGTTTTATGAATGTAATAATGCACCATCATAATTTGCATTCATATTATAACTCATCTTTCATCTTATTTTGATAGTATAAATAGTGAGCCATATGTACTAGAAACTTGATGATTTCATCACAGGTATTGGAATAAAAATTCTCTCTACTCTCATGTCTTTCTTTACTTTATAATTTATCTTGTTATTTGATCATATTTTATAACACTTTTGTACATAGGTGACAAATTTTTATCCGATTATCCAAAAAAAAAAATATCACTGGGATTATATGTTGGTTCTTGACCTTTAGCCCCCAAATTAAAATTGTTGATGGAGCAAGGATGGATTAGGTTGACCTCATCATTGAGGACATAAGAAAATAAGAAGGCGATCCAAGGCCTACTATGCAGGTCGAGCCAATAACCAAAACATGTTTGCTTAAGCATTTTCCATTGTAACGGAGTCAAGTTACGCCTTATTTTCTTTCTAGGTAAGTCCATTTTAATGTCAAGTTCACATGTTAGATGACATTATGTTGTAAGAAAACCACCAAAATGAATAAGAATAACTACAATTAACATTCTTTAGTAGTCTCTTTGAACATGGTATAGCAAAATTCCACCAAAATGACCAACAATCAAGATAAAGAATAAATACAAAAAAGAGCAATGAACTCCCATCTATTTGTTTACTGTAACACCTCATAGACATTTCATTCATTACATCATTGTACTTTGAAATATCTACCTTCATTGATAGATTTTTCAAAAACTAAATTAAAAATTAAAAACACAATGTTATATATAGTTGGATAGATTTTTTTTAAATAAAATAAGTAGAATGTTGTAATAGAATGAAATGAAAGTAGAATGCTATAATAAACAGAAAAATGAAACTACATCTTGCAAAATGCATGCTTAACAATAAAATGAAAAATAGAAAGTTTACCACACAGGATTAGAGAAAGCAACTCATCATTGAATTGACTTAAAATACGGGGAGGGGTAATACAACATAAACTATCAATCAATAGTCGCTAAAAATGAAACTAAAAAAAATGTAAGAAAAGGTGGTAGATCATTTTTGTGACCTCTTTTTGTTAATTTTTATAAACTGTCAAAATCAGAATCTGAAACTGGGATCCACGTCCATTGACCACGCAAACTTTGCCAGTAAAGACTTGTTAAAAAGCTGCAAAAGATTGAGTAAAAGTAAAAACCAATTAACTTTATAAATTGGGCAAAATACATAAATAAGAAAAATATGTTGTATGTTGTTACCTTCTCAATTGGAACTTCGTGTCTCTTACACCATGCAACAGTTATTCTGGGGTCAAGATAGTTTATTTTTGAAGTACCCAGTGCTACCGTTTTCAAATCTTCCTTGGTCTCTTTATCGCGTTCCATTTTCTCAATTTTTGCATTAGTGTGAGCTATTTTCTTCTCTAACCTGCATTTTTCCCCCAATAATTTCATTAATCAACATGCTTTATATCTATTTATTATGCAAGAATAGAACACATAGCATTGATTCCAAGGTGGGACATGGGTGTCAGTTTTTGTCCCACCTAAAAAAATATGACACATGTTTGATTTTTTGTCTCATCCACAGATGTTGATGGGACAAAAGCTGTAACTTTTTGTCCCACCCACTAAAAATTAGGACAGGGACTTGATCTTGACTGTTAAAAAGACAAAAATGCCCTTCTCATGATAAAAATAATAATAATAATAATGACCCTAGAAAATTAATATTTAATAATAGTATTACGCTTCGGGGTTCAAGTTCCTCTTTGGTTTTCCATCAGGACCATTTTTATTTGATGGAGGCTTCCCTTTCTTTGCACGAGCCAAATCACTTTCCAACTCTTTTATGACACCCTATAAACAAAAATAATAAATAATGCCCAAAATGGCAAAATGTTAAACTAAAATGCATTTTCATTTGGCAATGCGGGTCCCTCCCATTTAAATGTAAACAGTACCCACAAAATGTAAAAAAGTAGGGAAAGTATATTGAGAGAAGAAAAAATATATATGAGATGAGATCTAAATTTATTACCTTTAATTCATCTATTTTCTCATTCAACCTCGTCATTTGTGCACTGTGAGACTTTGAAACAGTACGTTGATGGTTACATATGATTGCAACCTACAAAAAAAAAAAGTAAATACAAAATATATATCAAATGAAATTTATATATAACTAGTTCAATTTGGGACATAAATGCCCTCCTCGTTGTAAATAATAATTACCTCCTTATTTGCATGTTGGTAAACGACTAGATTTTGAGTAACATCTCCACCCTTGGTTTCCCTTGTCAACTACAATCACCCAAAAACTTTAAAGTTAGAAAAAAAAAAAAATGATTATATATTTAACAAGGGTGGGTATATCATATATGGATGGATGTTAGTACCATATCATCCAAAGTGATGGATGCATTATAAGTACGGAAAACTTTAGCAGTAAGACCAGGCATTAATTCCTTGAGATGAGCATTTAATTTACTTGTATCCAGCTTGTCAAATAGATCATCATTTCCCGCTTTGCCTGAGTTACAAAATCTACTTTATTTTTCTTTTTGTTGCTTACATTAAAAGCACACAAAAAGTCAAAAAGTCAACGGACCTGTTCGAAACTGTTGGATTGCTTTGAAGACAGGAAGCTCCACTTCAACCTCATTCTGGTATCTTATAGAATCTTTACCAAGAAAGTCAAACTGTCCAAACAATACATACAACAAATTAAACTAAAGATTACAGGAAATACCAACCTACCTTGCTCTCACTATTTTTTAAATATAAAAAAAAAAAAAAAAAAAAAAAAAAAAAAAAAAACCTTTAGGATATTTGGAGGCTCAGGCTCCACGTTTTCCACTTTCAATGTGCAGCAGCCTACTGTATCAGCTTCATCATCATCCTGGAAAAACAATTACTTATAAATAAATAAATATATATTTTAAACATAAATAAAAAATTGGTACCTTCTCATTCCCTGCCCTGAGAGCTAGTTTATCAATGAGATATGTAGCCACTGCCACTTGCTTCTTTGTGACATCCGAATTTCCAAAATCTTTAGTGTAAGCCTTCCGTATGCCTTCTATGTACCCCTATTACATACCACTCATCACTCATTATTTATTCATTACTAACATTCATAATAATAATAATTACCTTCAGCTTCCTTGCCTTCTCGTATTTTTCCTTGTCACTCTGACCCTTCAAGGAACTGCTAGCAGCTAAAAACACATACTTGAATTCCTTTGAATTGATTGGATCATTCCAATATGCTAACCATGTCACAGTATTATCATGCCTGATTTCCTTCCAGCTGTGCATGACATTAGGGGTGCGTTTAGTTCCGGAAAAATGGGCCGTCTTCCGGAACAATTTTCCAAGAAAAATCAGAATTTTGAAAACGCGTTTAGTTCGTCTTTTTTTCACGGAAAATGAAAATTTTCCGTTTTTCTAAAATTACAAAGAAGTTTGAAATTTTTGGAAAACCGATAATCATTGTTTTCCACATTTTTCTAATTCTAAATTTTTTCTAAAATATAAACACTCACTCCCACCCCATCCACCTCTACCTACCCTCACCTTAATACCCCCTACCTACCTACACTCACTCCCAAGCCCACCCCCCCCCACACACACACACACCCACCCACCCAACACCACTACCACAATCACCGACCTACCATCACCATCATTATACCCATCACCACCACCACTACCCCATCACCAGCACCATCTCCGCCGCCATCACCACCACTGCCACAATTGCCGCCACCACCACCGCCGCCACCCCGCTGCCACCGCCACCACCACAACCACCGTCACCATCATCGACACCACCACTGCTCCCCGCCGCTGCCCCCACCACCGCCACCGTCCGCCACGCCCACCCTACCACCGCTACCGTTTTCTAAAAATGAAACCCGATAGAAAAATACACATCTAAACGCGTTTTCTAATTTTCTAAAACTGAAAATGAAAAATGAATAAGTTTTAACTAAACGCGTTTTCTAAATTTTCCAATGAAAACCGAAAACGGAAAATGAAAACTGTTTTTCCGTAACTAAACGCAACCTAGGTTTTTCTTATATATCAAATACTTTAAGTTTTACACATAATATCAACAATACTTATATTTAATAATATCATCTAGTGGGTAAAAAAAACAAAAAAACAAACAAACCTTTCGCCAGGAATCGGACATTCTGGAATCGGAGCATCCTTTCCGATGTTTATGGTAATATCACTTGGATGGATTCGTTTTTTCAGCTTTCCCATCTAGCAAACCAACAATATTTGTAATTATATATATATATATATATATATTTCTTTTCTAATGAAATAAGTTTAAATACTTTATTGGAGGGGTAAAGTTGTCATTCAAACCTTTGGATGTTCCCCCCGCCCACGGAATAGCCCAGGTGGCTCAACTCTGAAATTACCAACCTACACCATCAAAAATGCAGAGCATATTTTGAATATATATTATGTTTGAAACCTTAGTTATAATGCAGCACACACATTGGTCATCTTTGCAATCAAATAACTCATGATCAAAAAAAAAATTATATGATATAACCTAAAAAGAAACAGATGTTGCTTTCTAGGATGACATCTATCTACAAATAATATGATTTTAAAGTACATAACAATGTCTCATACAAAAATTAAGTGCAATGATGTAATAGAAAGAAATGTAAGTAAGATTCTATAATACCAAATCAACAGAAGTACATTGCTTTTTCTTGTATTTGACACAATTTGCAAAAGATTTGAAGTCCTATTTGGTTTGCCATTTAGCATTTTGATCCAATGGCTCCCTACTTATATGGTGTAAAAAATGAAGAAATTTTCTGACATGAAAATGGCACCCACTAGTAAAAGATGAAGAAAAACCATATAAAGGAATGGACCCTAAGTTCTTTTGCTCCGATTATTATATAAGTAACATAATCCACCATTGATTCCTATAATATAAAGTCCACACTGATATTAGCCTTGTAAGTATTATTGTCATTTTCATTATAAAAGAGAGTTTCAAGATATTAAAAATTATAAATCAAGGTTAGGGATCACCTTTTCTTTGACACCATCAACAATTGCCCACATATATTTCTCTTCTATCTTCATTTTCTCCTCTTTTATGGCCTTTTTTTCCTACAAAAATCAATTCTTGCATTAATACCCTCGTACATTAGATAAATTACAAAGATGGCTAAATGTCCATTAATAATGACAAGATAGGTTTAATCTTGAAGAACAAAAACAATAAAATCCATATTTATCATAGTTGCTGATAATACCAAAAAAAGGAAGAATTTGTAAGTAACTTACTTCTGTTGTCATTAGCTTCTTCTTCTCTTTTTCAGCCTGATGCCACTCATATATTGGTTTGAAATCACAATTTTCCAAATTCTGGATTGTGTGGTTTTTTCCCAATATCTTTCGCCAGTCACCCCAGAAATTCTCTTTGAACTGAGGTTTGGCCATGTAATCTGTATCTAACATCACTGAAAACATTGTTGCAACCTGTAAATGTGTAAAATAAGAATATGATGATCATGCATACATCCAACTAGTTTCTTTCTTCAAGGGACCAAAAACAAAACAAAAAAACCAATGTACTTTTATTTATTTGTTTAGTATAGCATTTTACTTTCAATTCATTCTATTACAGCTTTGTACTTTCAAGAAAACAATGTACTTCAAAGAATCTACCCGATTACAGCATTCTGCTTCAAAACTTTTTTTTATCAGAACATTGTACTTTGAAAGATCTACTCAAGGTACAATAATGTAATTGAAAGCAATGAAAATATGATGCTATAATAAACAAATAAATGAGAGCACATTACTATTTCCTGTTCATTTTTTGTAAAAGAAAAAGATGAAGTGGAAAGTATGTATTAGGTTCACCTCCTCTTGTTCAGGAGTCAAATCAACAGGCTTCCCTTTGTATAGCATCTTAACCCCATGAGGCTTGTATTCAGGTGGAAAAATTACACCATTATGAACCAAACTTGTCCATTTCTGCCCTTCACCAGAACCAGGGGGGATCTTTGATGGCTTAGAATATTTTGATTGTTTCTGTTTCATCATCTTTTTTGACTTCTTGTTGGTTTGGTTTAAAGATGAAGAACTCTTTTTCATCACCTTTTGTTTTACAGATGAAGATTTATTACTACTTGATGGAGCTTGTTTCTTTATTCTTTGCGATATGGGAACATCATCATCATCATCATCTGACTTAATTTCTGCTTTCAAAGCTACTGGTTTTTGGTTGACAGGTGTTACAGAATCAGAAAGCTTTGGCTTTTTAACCGAAGCAGATCTTTCCTCATCTGGTGGTCTCTTATTCAACCCAATATTCTTCAATTGAGTATTATCCTTTGATGCAGAACCATTTTGATGAACTTTGGGAACCACTGGTTTATGATTATTAGATGATCCCACTTTGGACTTGGAATTATATTTTAAAGACAATGGTTTCTCATCATCAGAATCTTCATCTTTTACTGATGGTTTTGGAAGTGGGGACACACTTGTACCTGGCCCTTTTTTAGCATGATTGGTGTCCACCTTGGATACAGTTGAAATTCTACAACTTAGTGGTTTATCATCTTCAGAATCCACCTCATCATTGCTTGGTTTAGGAGAAGGTTTGGAAGGTTGAGAAGAAGACTTCACTGTATCAGGTCTTGCATTCCTTCTAAAAACCAAGGGTTTATCGTCATCAGATGAATAACTCATTTTTTCGTCAGTTTGTTGTCATAAAGCACTTCAATCTCTAGATTCTTGCACTTATGGCTTTTAGATAAGATGGATTGACCTGTATGAGGATCGAAATAAATAAAACTGTAGCAAAAGAAAGATAAACAAAGTTTCTCCTTACAAGTTGCTCAAACACTTGCATCAAAATTACAGCCTTTTGTGTGGAAAAAGTTCAAGATTTTTAGCATTGTTGGCCCAAAAAGTAATATAAAACTGTAATGTTATGAAGAGGGTTTGTGTACAGAGGTGTATATATAAAGTATAATGTGACTAGAAACAAGAAAACAAATGCAAACACCTTACAAACTCCAATACCTACATCCTGGTAACATACTAGGGTTTGTGGGTCATTAAATTAATTATGGTGAAAAGGGTCTAAACGTACCCCTCTAAACGTTCAACTGCAAATTAAAAATGATTCAATACCTACGATAACATTCCTAATCTAAAAACAAAAGGATAACAGGGTTCAAATAACCTGATGAACTGGTAATAAACAACGTTCAGTTACGTTATTATTGGACTAATTGAGATTAAAGCTCAAAATTTTGTTCGTTCGAAACTCAAAATCACAACTAATGAGAATGTTCGAAGCAATACGAAACAAAACGAAGCTGAGATGACGTCTAAAAGTTACTAAATGTTTTATTACTTCGTCGTTCGGACTTCAAATTCTCTAGTCTAAATTATAATCGATAAAAAAGACAAGGGGTTCTACCGATTGCACGGCGGGCGGAGACTGGTTGAACCCTAGATCCCGTTTCGTCTCCGACGATGTGAGAGAGAAATTCAGGGAGAGCGAAGGAGATAGAAAGAGGGTTGCCGTACAACACAAATTTAGGACAGAAGAAAAGGAAGAACCGAAGAAGTAATTTTCTGTTTCGGGTTAAAGCAACGGATCGGGTACATGAGCCTGTCACCTTTAATCGATTCTTTACCTAATAAATCAACAAATTTTACTAACCATGGTTTCAAAAATGGTTTTTACAAAAAAAAAAAATAATAATAATAATAAAATAATAAAAAAGTCTCACTATTTACAGAAAAGTTACATTTTAGTCTCAATATTTTTTTTTAATAAAAAAGTCCTGAAAACCAGCAAAAATTTTACAGTTTGACCCTTTTTAACCGGTTGAAACCGATATCAAATTAATTTTGGACTATTTCGTAAACTAATCCAAAATATTTAGATTTTTCTGTAAACAAAAATATTATGATTTTTCTATAAACAAAAATATTATGACTTTTCTGCAAACAGAACTCTTATTATTATTATTATTATTATTATTATTATTAAGAATACTATTTTTTGAACTTGTATTATTAATATTGTTAATAAAACATATAAATGCATTTAAATGAAAAAAATAATGACATTGTTTAAGGGTGGAGGTGGAGGAGATGGTGATGCTTTTAACATTGAAATCATGAATTTCTGCTAGTATATTTTTACTTTGTATATGGTCATTTCACATTTGTTATTATTGTTTTCAATTCAAAATATTAATACTTAACAATTTAAAAGAAATTGCATATTTGTAAAATTGTTTATAAATAGTTTAAGGTAGAATGATTTCTCAGTTTGTATATAAAATTGTTTAAGGTGGAATGATTACTTTCCAAATCCAACAAATCCACTATAAACAACTACATAAATAGATACTTTTGAATTTTGATTAATACTTTTTGAATTATTCCTATTACTTTTATTAAACAAGATATTGTAATTAATACTTTTGAATTTTGATATGGGCTATCTATGTAGATGCTTGTAGTGGATCTGTTGGATTTGGAAAGTAATCTTTTTACCTTAAACAATTTTATATACAAAGTGACAAATCCTTCTACCTTAAACTATTTATAAACACTTTTACAAATATGCAATTTCTTTTAAATTATTAAGTATTAATATTCTGAATTGAAAACAATAATGTCAAATGTGAAATGTGTGACAACCCGAAACTTCTACCTGGTACATCTAGTCAGTAAATCTAAGTTAAACTCGTTTCTGTTAACTTCTAGCACTGGTTAAGGGTCCATTTAAGTGTTCTAAGCTTGGGTACAGCCAAGGTTGAAGTTAGGAATGAGTCAGCAAGGCGAATAGTAGCAAAACCGGGCCATACACCCCTTTTGGAGGAGTGTGCGGCCGCACACATGGGTGTACTGTCGTACACACCCCTCATGGCCACACACCCACCCCTATATAAAGGGTAGACCCCTTTCCTTTCATTCCTTTAACATCCTGGCAGCACACAACACCTTTTCTCTCAAGACTCTTCAACCGCAAACCCTCCCAAGGCTTCAAAAAAGTGAGTAATCCATCCCTTAGCTTGTTGTGCTTGAAAAACCACTTAATATAAGCCTAGAATCATTGAGTCCCGTCATGTTCTTCATCTCTTTGAAGGAGTGCGGCCGCACACCCACATAAGGTGGCCTCACACTCCTAAAAGACCCTCCAAAGTGAGAGTTGGACTTCCATCTTCGAGTTAAACATGACCCTAGCCTTGCTGCACCTTAGAATTGGCGTTTTGGACACAAACATGTAGGGTGTACGACCGCACACGCCTGTGTACGGCCGCACACACCCTTGTGCGGCAGCACACTCATGTGTGAGGTAGCACACTCCCTTGTGCGGCAGCACACTCATGTGTGTGCGACCACACACACACCCTAGGACCACAAACCCATTTCTAAGACCCTAAGCTTGTACTACAACTAAGTATGGATCTAGAACACTTCATGGATGCAAGTATGGACCTTGAAAACACCTAAAAAGCACCTTCCATCATGAGTGTACGGCCGCACACCCATTGGGCCACACACCCATGGCCGTACACACCTTTAAGGTGGCCATACACCTCCCTCATGCAACCCTTTAAGGTTCTAACACTTAGTGTAAGTAGTCCCAAGTTCTTAGAGTGGTTCTCCATCACATTTAGTAGAGAAATACCTTCATTTGACTCCTTTATGTGTCATTACATGTTAATTAGGATCAAATCGTGTTCAAGGCTTCACTTGAACATTCGGCATTCCGTATCGATCTTTCATTCAAATCACCCGAGGTGAGTTCATACCCCTACATTTTCCGTGTTTTTAATGTTTTCAGGGGGGAATACAAGCCAAACTCAAAGTATTTTATTAAGTTTTAAACTTATTAATACAGTCCAATGATTTCCACGTTTAATAACATACTCGGATATTTTATCTCTTTTGTAATATGTTGAGCATAAGAGAAACTGTTATTTCGGGAATCTAACTTCATAGCTTTCAGAAAGCTTTTACAAAGCATTTTCCATAACAACTCTAATAAACTATAATGGGTATAGTTTGGGATAACCCTCTAGGCAGTATCTACCTAATCAGATTTCATAAATGAATATATATGAACTATGGCAGATTTAGTTTATGTTATATATTTTTTCAGGAGTATAGAGTACTGTTATTCAAGCATAATTATTGTTTTATACTGTTTCTCGCTAGTAAACTAGATTATACAGAATTGTGAGGCTCTACTTCAATACTGTACCCTTAGGTGTACATGGTTAAATCCTATCTCAGTATAACCAGAGTCTCCTGGAGGGAGAGCGTGAGATTTGTGAATAGATCTATTCGGGACTGACAATCCCACACCTGAACTGCTAGCTACAGTTAGGCGGGCACGCCTGGGGTGAACAAATGTCATTTAGCTTAACGCCTGAAGAACGTTATAAAGGTCTCTAGGTCATATCAAGTATGGTTATACGACTCGCAAATAAGTATAAACTAACTTTGGTTTACGGATTCTACTCTTCATTTGTTTTATTTTAAGTAATAGAACTACTTTCACATATACTGATAGTAATCAGGGACTTCTAAACTTGCATCTCTACCTCTAGGACGGATAAGTTGTTTTTAAGGAAAATATGGGATTTTCCCAAGATAACACTGGCATTTCTAAAACCGATGGTTTATTTCATACTAATAGACACTCTTTCCACACGCTTTTTATAAGAAAATATAGGATTTTCTTGAGGAACATTTTTCAAAAGGATTCAAAGAACACTTTTCCACCAAAACTAAATGCTTATGAACTCACCAGCTTTATGTTGATATTCTTTTAAAACTGCTTGTATTCTCAGGAAACTAGTAGACAGGTACTTCTAGGAGTTCGGAGAAGTCGGAGCGTTAGAGTCATGTCTTTCATTTTCCTTTTGATATGAACAAAACTATGTATCGACCAATGTAAACCTTTTTCATATATGTATTCAATGTTTGGTTGTGTTTACTATGCTTGCTATGATACAATTGTTGTGATACTACGCATGACGTCAACCACCCCCGAACGTTTCCGCCGTTCCGGTTTGGGGGTGTGACAGATTGGTATCAGAGCTATTGTTTATAGTGAACTAAGTATACCGAACCTTACATGGTATACAACTATAAACATTAAGGGGCCTAAGTGCTCTAAACTAAAAGTATACTTTCAAAAATACAAGTATTTTTATAAAAGTATATAAGTATACCCGAGTATCAAAATCAGTGTCATAAGTAGAACAAAACAAAAGTATTTGGATGTTGGACATTGCGGTTAAACCTGGGCAGTTATGTAATCATGTCTAGGATCAATATATCCTGATCAACTATATTCATTCGATACATGACCAACATGTGTTTGGGAGTGACCGTGGTGTTGCAGCAAGCCTAAAACTTACCTAGATACCAGAAGAGTTCTAGAACCAAACGTAAGGGTTAAAATACTATAGGAGTATTTTAGGGTGCTATAACGACCGAACCAGAAACTTACCCAATAATCCATCCCTCAAGAATCAATCATGTAACTATAATACATTGGAAGTATTATTAGATTCGATGCCTAATAACTATCCCTTTACCCCTATCTCGCGTAGATAGCATGGCCGGATTCCATCTCCCTGGCGACCTGTACTTTCCCAACCAAGGAGATGATGGATGGCTCGAGCCAGCGCTGGAAGAGAACCATGAGATTCCTTCGGACGATGACTTCGCCGAACCATTTTCTGAAGAGACTGACTCAGAACCCGAAGTCGAGAACCTACCTCAAGTAGCCCCGATACCAAATCCTAGCCCCCGACTTGAGTTCGAAGGCCCAACGCCTATGTGGGTCGGAAGCCTGGATAGGTGGAGCCATGAGCAAGGCCAACCCCTCCCATACAACGGAAACCGCAACTTCTACAATCTGGATGAAGGAGGTCCTGCAGACAGGGCCCTTCCAATTCTGATACGCTGAGTTGCTCGCAATGTGGAGCTAGGTGTGGCAATCCTTCAGCGAACTATGGAGCTTGAGGCAGACTCGGATGCCGGCACAAACCGCATTCGAAATCTTGAAGTTGCTCATGGGAGAACTATGAGGGACAATGAAGCTTTGCAACAAGAGCTAGTTACCACTCGAGCTGAGGTCATAGAGCTCCGAGCATGCCAGTCAATATACGAGAGCCGCCTGCTTGACATGGAGCGCCAGTTGGCTAACTTAAGGATCCGCCCGAGGAGTACCCGTCGCCGATAGGAGAATACTCTACTCATCCTTCCTTTTTGGTCTAAGGAATAACTTTCATATCTATGTTCTGAGTAGTTCTTTTCCGTAAACATCTCTGCCTTTCTTGTTGCCAAGATGTCCTCTGTATTAGTATGATTTAGACCTACTTTTAGGTCGAGGTTTCCAAAATATATGTAATCTCAGTTTCAATATTAGTGACAACAAGCATTTATCAGTTGAAGATTATCAATGTCAAAAGTATACCTTAGATCGGTAGCATGTAAATTAAGCAACTTTATCAAAGTCCTATCACCGTCTCGTCCTCAAAGCATGTGTCATAGGAAGTACTCTTATCTTAGGAACGATCATTCCTTTTCCCCATCAATTTCATATCAGTCTCCATAAAAAGCTACGATGTCATAATCAGCATGAGATGATTGAGCCCCAAATCGTGCTGATGTCCCTTACATTCGAAAGGGCGACTCGTCTCAATCTTTCCCTCTGACAAAGTCCTCACTGGTTATAGTGATAAAAATTGTTCGAACCTTCGTATCATTTCCTGCGCCAAAGCCCAGAAGTATTTGCGAAAGGGATGCCCTGTATTCCTGGCTCATGTTGTAGATGAGATGAAAGAAGTTAAAGACCTCGAGAGCATCTCTGAAGCCTGCAACTTTCCTGATGCCTACCCCGAAGATACTCCAGGGAACTTCTTCCGAGTGTCAAGTTGAATCTCGTATCGACTTGATCCCCAGAACTACCCTTATAGTTAAATCTCCGTATCGTCTAGAGCCGACAAAAATGTGAGAGTATTCAGCCAGCGCAATGAGCTGAGCAACAAGGAGTTCGTAAGTTTATTGTAGGTGAACTTTATTATGTTCGAATCTTTTCTATTCTTGCTAGGACCACATCATGGGGATGTGGGTCGAATCAATGAGAGTCAGATAGCAAAACGGGAAATCCCAGTGCATAGATAAACAATTAGGATACATCCAGAGGCAACCATTGTTGCTCACAGACTTTTTTTCTTGACATGTGGCAGATCATGCCTCCGAAGGAACGTAACCAAACCACCGGTAAGACACCAATCCTCCAGATGGACTCAGCTACGTTCCAAGCTACTGTCACAGCAGCCGTAGCAGCCGCCCTAGCTGTTCTTAACACTAACAACCCAAATGGGAATGAGAACAGTTTCCACACCTCGAACTGTAGCAGCACACCAGGAAACCAACAAGGGCTTATCCAGGAGGGCACTCTAACTCCCAAACCTAAGAGCGCCAAACGAAAATTCTGGACCGAGATGAAGTACAAGTCGTCTCAGAAACTTTCCAAGAGATAACAACCCGTGATAACTCCTATAGCCACAACATCTGCCAAACCAGTGCCAATGCCAGTGCGGCGATATGCTGGAAAACTTCCAAATTACGAGGAATGCAACTGATGTGTGTAAACTCAACTAGTTTTTAAACCTACTTTTAATTATAAATTAA